CGGCACGAAAAAACCAAAAAAAAAAAAAAAAAAAAGGTTCCGTACGTCATGCGGACTGCGCCCCTCGTGTCGGTTGGGCGGGAATGGAGGGTAAAAAGCCGTTGGGATTAATTAATTAAAACACAGCTGTTGCACTGCAACGTTAAAGATGCTCAATGATACTAGAGTACCGCTTGGTCAAAGAGCCACAACTACTTTCATCCTTCCCGATCTTCATGATCCTCTGTGTCAGCTATCTTAAGGGGAGAACTCAAAAGGGTAAACTCTCAGTGCAGAACTGTTATCTTAGGTGTTCCGCAAATGTCTATCATAGGCCCACTCTTGTTTAGTCTTTCCGTTAACGATGTGTTTCTGTATGCCAGTATGTGAATGCTCATGCGTACGCCGATGTACTTGTTAAGTCGTATTAGTCTAATCGAAGTCATGTGGTTTAAAATTGATTCTAATCTGTTCGCCATTTCTGTCTTGGTCACTGTTTACATTTAAATACCTCTTAGTCGTATGTTTTACCGATAAGTAGTAATGTTGTACATGGCGAGGATATTCCGAGGCTTTGGATTGGTACTAAAGCTTTTTTGTTTACTGATAAAATTGAAAATTTAGGCTTTCTTGTTAATTCCAGATTAAGCGGCGTTTTTGCTACTTTAAGTAGCTTGAAAATTTCTGCACCATAATTGGACCTAAGCTAGCCATTCAACTTATTGTACGCCAAATAACATATCCCGAATTAAATAGTATACAGTAAACTTGACTGAGCATCAGCACATAAAATCGAGTTGGCCTTTAATAGAGTTACACGCTACGTCACTCCACACAGCACAGGAATAAGATTCTGGCTGTTTATATACAAGTTGCTTGAGTGGAATGCATCTAAATACCTTTGTGACAAACTGATCCGCCCACAACAAGGGTGCCAAACGAAAAAAAATTTAATAGAGCGTAGTTTCGAAGATATTTTTGAAGAGGATTGCCACCTGTTTGTAAATGAAGTTATGCATACAGATGGTTTATTTGGCACACTTTCTACGGATTTCCCAAGAATGGTCTTAGACTGAAAATAATTCCAATAAATCAAGAGGGCGTAGCGCCTTCCATACAGATTTGAATTTCCATAATGCATAGATATGTATGTCTGGAAGTATTTGTTGGAGAATACTGGAACTTGGTATAGAGATATGTATGTAAAATCAAATTCATACTTGCGGAGAAAAATGGGCTATACCGAAGGCTTCATACCTTTCATGAACATCTGCAAATTTTACTTTGACAGATTACTGCTTTTGAATACATCTGCATACATCGATAGAGGAGTTACATACTTATATAAAAAAATCGCATCTAAACAATCAGAGGTATGGAAGATTTCCTTTATATGGCACCAATCTAAGTGATTTTCACTGCTATGTGATCGGTATGTAAACCGGTAACACAATTTAATGGGTTTAGCTTCCTACATAAAGGAGATACATATATGGCAAAAACTGGTATCTGAACAATCAGTGTTATAGGAGATAAAGCTTATACAGCATAGATTTTGATGATTTTCTCAGTAGACTTTGTATTATTATTTATAAAATATCTTACGGAATTTATCGGTTTTAGCTGTTCAAATAAAGAAGTTTTACAGTAAAATCCCATATCTGAACAATCAGATGTATGGGGTCTGCAGGTTGTAGTGACGCGATCTTTGTTATTTTCACTGTAAGTCTTCTGTTGATAATGAGTGAAAAAAGTGCGGAATTTCATGTTCCTAGCTATATAAATGGAGGAGTTATAACGAAAAATTTTATATCTGAACAATCAGTTGTGTGGGAGCTATAGGTTATAGTGACCCGATCTTTGTAATTTTCACTGTAAGTATTCTGTTGATAATGGGTGCAAGTATTGCAAAATTTCATGTTCGTAGCTGCATAAATGGAGAAGTTATAACGAAAAATCTCATATCTGAACAATCAGTTGTATGGGAGCTATATGTTATAGTGGTCCGATTCTTCCGGTTCCGACAAATGATTAATACATTATAAAAATACACCCACCTACCAAATTTGATCCGGATATCTCGAAAACTGAGAGACTAGATTGCATACAAACAGACAGACAGACGGACAGACGGACAGACGGACATGGCTAAATCAACTCAGCTCGACGTTCTGATCATATAAGTATACATTTTAATGGGTCTATCTCTTTTTGTTCTGGTACTTACAAACATCGGACCAAAGTTATAATACCATTTCATGCTCATGAAAGGTGTAAAAATTGGGCTACTATAAATTTACTATTTTGTACTGCTATCTCTAGAAGTACTCCTGTTAGAGTACTGGGTATTGGTATATATAAAATCATTTTCTTCCATATAAAGTATTTTGGAAATTTTTTTATGTGGAGGTAAGTGCATAAAGTGTATATAAATACACAAAACTTGTAAATCGTACCAATAGCGGATGCTCTGAGTTCACAATCTGAAATAGTAATGTGCAATATTTCTGCTGGAGTTGTAAAACTATCGATAGTATATATCACTGTCCATAGTAGTTTAATAGTTTTGAAAAAAGCAAAGATGGTCTTCGATACTCACCCAAAAAAAATAAACTCTCGATACTATCGATAGTTTTGCAACTCTACCGATGACGAAACACTAACTATTCGTAAAACTTAAATTATTTTATTTTTAATATTTTTATTGAGCTTTGTACCACGATTGTTTATTAGGAAAAATTGAAAAAGCAACAAAGTCTAAGCGGTAGAAGTTATAGCACTATTTCGGAGATCACCACATCTCCTCATCAGACTTCTTTTTCTAGACTTCAGCAAGGAACGAACCTGCGAATTCGATGTTCAAAGTCAGAAGCGTTAACCACTGAGCTATGTACATCCCGTAAACTCTTGTTGCTAATTTATTTTCCTTATTTAACCAACTACTATCAAGTGCAGCTGATTTGCCGCTATTTAAACTCGACAGCGTGGTTGTTGTTGTCAATTCTATACATCCATTTGCTTATTTGCTTTTTTGTATAGTTTCAGGCAGGCTCTTCCTAAACTATTAGGGTACTCACAGTTCTATATTATCTACTGTGTTAATTTTGCCACCTGGTAACTTTAAAACATTTTACCATGTGGTAACTTTGTTTGTTGTTGGTTCCCATACTAATTAGAGATAACACTTTTGGGCAAAATTACTAGACTTTGTCTCATGTTTATGTTCTGTGTTAAACTGGCATCTATCGCTGCTTGTACATACATACATGAATTTCGCTTTGGGCGCAGCGCTGCTTGTACATAAGTTTCTCTTTGCGCCTGCCTGGAGCTGGCAAAGGTTATTTTTTTTTTTTTTTGCGCTGTGCTAGCTGAGTATAAAAAAGAGAAGAGAGAATAGAGAGAAATATGTATGTGGTTTGTTGATGCTCTCTAAACACAAACGCGTGAAAGGCAAACGGTCTAGCAATGCGTGGTATTGTTGATCAACTTAATACTTTATTTAAACATAAGGGTTGCTCACAGTTCGAGTGTGTTATCTTGTTAAAGTTGCCACCTTTTAACTTTAGAAGTAAACTGTGAGTACCCTATATGTATTTGTCAATGTTATTGTGGCTTGTTAACATTTTATTTTTAATATTTTTATTGAGCTTTGTACCACGATTGTTTATTAGGAAAAATTGAAAAAGCAACAAAGTCTAAGCGGTAGAAGTTATAGCACTATTTCGGAGATCACCACATCTCCTCATCAGACTTCTTTTTCTAGACTTTATTTTACCTACAACCAATTGGTTATTTTCATAAAAATATACTTACTTACGTGTGTGTACTTACTTTTCCGAAAAATCATTTCAATTATCCTATGTAAAAAAAATAATTGAGTCAATTAAATCCAGTACTTTTGTATCAGTATCATATAATTTCGTTTATTTATTTGATTCCAGCTATTTACATTCCAAACACATTTTACAGTTATTCTGTTTTCTATTTGTATATTTTCTTTTATATCGAATGTATTAAAATCAAAAATTATTATTTAGTCACCTTTAGAAATTAATTGTTCTCTATGTATACTTTTTTCTTGTATACTTTTTT